CTTCACGTGTGGCTGTGGCTGAACACTAAAATCATTCAAAAATGTTAGTGTGGTGTAATATTTTGCAAAATTGTATGTGTTTTCTACAATTTTGGTATTAATTTTTGGACCAAACTTCTCATTTTGATCAACATTTTTGAAACCCGATTTGGAAAAAAATTGCCGGGCTTACTTTGTGAAATCGAAAAAAAAGGACTTTTACTAGTAAAGGTTACTATTCTCCTTCCGCACTCGTCCATTATTTTCGACATATAATTCCGCAAAGTAATATTTTGCTGATTGTAAGCGAATGAATTACAACATTCGCAGTTTTAAAATGTTGACAAAAGATAAGATAAATGACACGCAAGCACCACACCGTATGGAAATTCTAATTTGAAACCATTTCAGTGAATTTGTATTCGTTAGTTTACGTGGCAGTTTCGGTCCTTTCCGGAAATATTCAACCAATCAAGGTTCGACATATCAGCATATGTCACGTGAACACAAGATCACGTGATACATGGTTGTTAAATGTTGTCGTCGACCGTTCGCGAACCAGGGATAATCAAGTCATCGTTTGGTATTTTGGTGCCTATTTTTACGTTGTTACTTATCCAGTAAGCACTTCTGTTACTTTTACTCTGTAATTCCCTATATTTTTTTTCAAAATAAGTCACTGTAAACCAAATTTTATGAAACACTCTGCAACCGGAAGTAGAAATATTCTGTGTTCGTCGTCACTTCGTGCTGTATTATATTTTCCTCGATTTGCTCTGCTGACAAGGGGTATTTGTACGGCTCACCAGTGTGCCTCGGTAGTTCAGGATCTGGAATACACTGACTTACTTCTCGTTATTGTCCCGGAAAGCCGATTGATGCAATACTGAGAGGACATCTGCTTTTGTAATCGCCTTGTATTTGAATGTTTATTTATCGCATCGCACCCGCATATCGCATACCAAACAAACCTATCTGAGGATTGCACAACTTAACAGCATGGATCCATTCCAGACGATAACTTTAGTAGTTAAAGCACCTAATCAGAGGATTGCAGATCAGACCGTGGAGTGTGCCGCTGGTTGGACGGTAAAGAAACTCAAAAACCACCTTTCAAACGTGTACCCAAGTAAACCGGTAAGAGGCCATCAGTATTTTTGATCACCGCTGGCATATTATTAAGATACTGTTGATTAATAACTTGGTATAGAAAGACATCATCACCCATATGGACAAGAGTAAATCTCATCTGTCAAATCTGTATTTCCATGTTAATGAAGTATTGATTGTTGTTTCCACTGACCTAAATTAAATCTTTTATTATATTTTTCAGCATGAAAAAGATCAGAAAATTATATATTCTGGTAGACTCTTACATGATCATTTGACTTTGAAGGACATTTTACGACAGGTATGTGTACACGTTATCATTACCTGTTGCTGATCATTGGTACCATCTGGTAATGTCGTGGATGAATTTAACAATATAATTCAGAACAATATAGATTAAACCACAAATTTATGTGTTTTAGGGTGTAAAATAGAAAAAAAAATACTTGTAAATTAAGCTTACAGACGTCAGATTTTGGAAAATTTAAAGCAAAAACTAAATTGTGGTAACAAAGATGTTTTTTTCTGCACAAAATAAATAAATCCCTAATTTTGGAACTTTGACTTGTACTTTACAGAACACTCAGTAGTTGTTCTTCTCGACCTCCCGCAGTAGTGTTGTCACTGTCAAAATTAGTTCAAATCTGATATTGTGATTTTTTAATTTCTAGCAGCATTATACATATTTACTATCATAAAAACTATTAATCACGTTTTCAATTGATTCTAAACAAAATAATTAGCAAACATCCTATAAATTTGTGGCATTCAATAAAAAATATAAATTTGCATCATTTTAATTCCCGCTCTAAGGTTATTATCATGCTAATTAAAAAAAAGGAAATGTGTTGCAAAATTTGACATCCCTTGTTGTATACATCACTTTCAATAAATTACGTCTGGAATTCCCTTCACCGTTGTTTTGCTAAGTACATCTCTGGAGATTGCAACACATAATACCAGTGATGTTTACAACAAAACATGAGCGTAAATCCTTTTTGACTCTTGACATTGAAAAGTAACTACAGGCAAATGAAAAAGTGCTTTAAAACAATACTGACAATGCATATAAATAAAAAAAAATTTCAGTCGACGCAAATAAATTTAGAAAGTATCACTGTCAGCATGAATGACTTCATATTTTCTTTTGTATCCATATTCATGCTCTTAAAAAAACAAAATTAAGAGTTTTTATGGTAAATAACTGTTTTCGCTTCATTGACTGTGGTTCAAGTATAATAAAAAATTCTAATTCATGGTGCATTGAATGGGAATACTAGCACATGATGATGATGATGCAATTCCAAAATGAATTTTGACATAAAAATATATTAGTCAGAATGTTTGTTGCTTTTTCAGTTGAAAACTATGTATAGAAACTTATGGGATAATAGGGTGCATGTAATAACATATACTATAAAACCCTTTGAAAAAGCTACTTTTAGCCACATCAATACTACAATGGTCATTTTTGTCATGTATTTGTCATGTACATGTATTACATTTAAAACCTATAAAAAATATCCTGTTTATTGCTTCTTTGAGAGAGTTTCCCCGGGAAATAATTGTTTGTGGGTGTCATTATGATTATAATCAGTGCACCTGTAATGACTACTAACAATTTAGTTTTACATTATTAATCATGTGTATATGAAAGATTTATAAATAGAATTATAATTACTGATTACAAAATTATTTGGGTAGCAGTGTATTTTTTTAGGTTGTTTTTGATTGTGATAATGCAGGGCGCCAGCCAAGAGTACTGCACTGCGCCCGTGTTCCCAGGTTTAGAAAAAAAATAATGTACAATGTATAAATGAAGCAAGTTTGAAAGTAGAGAGCATCATGCATTCATACATGTATGCATGCACACACGTTTGTTTCTTTTTTTGATTGGTCTTTTCTTTTTCTTATTCAGTATGAAGATACTGTAGCATACACTGTTCATTTAGTATGTGCTACTGCCCTGGGTGGACCATTGGACATTGGTAACTCACAGAACACTGATGGTCAGTCAAGCAATGACGATGGAACTACATTACGTCAGAGGGTTGTTATGAATGCACAGAATACAATTCCGCATCAACAGCCTCTTGGGTAAGTAGTCTATTAATATTCATAATTAAATCATAGTAGATTCTCTATTATTTGTGCAGTGACTAGAGTTTCCAAAAAAATGTCACAAAGTTCATTCCTTTGAGTTTCAGTGTGGTATTAAGATTATTCCAGTGGGGTATAGTTGTAGATTATTATAAGTATGTCAAATATTTGATTGTCTCTGCATTTTGAGTATGTGTCAATTGCTGGAAATAATGATAATGCTTTGCTTGGAGAAAGCCTTACTCAAAACAGAAACAAATTTTTGTGAAGCCACATGTATTGGGACACTATTCAAAAGCCATAGCGAATGAAATTCAGATACAATCAGAGAAGAAGCCAAAATGATTGCTAACACTCGTTTATAGTAAAAAGTATTGCAATTGAATGGTTATTATGTACTTTCCACAATTTAGGCAAATTCAAACCATAAAATATTTCACATAATTGTCACCAATACAGCTTAAAGAAGAATTTCAGGGTGCAACTTATAATATCAGAGTTCGTAGCTCTAGATTATAATGGCCCAAAGCAACCGATCCAATATTAGGGTCAATAGCTGACTGATTGTGTTTTTATGATGCAATTGATTTATAGTAGAGTCTCTGTGGCCTCAGAAAGCACATTGCTTTGCAGCTTGCTTTATATTCGTTTAAACATTAGTTTTATGTTTAGTGACATTATTCATGCATTTGCATACATTGATCTCTTGAGGATGAAATGTTGTTCCTAGTGAGTGGCCGCCACACTAAAAATAATTACTGCATCCCCTCACTCACTGGCTAATCTTTTCACAGACCAGCTCTTTCTTGCTGACAATTTCTGCAGCTGTTTGTTTCTGTCAGATTTATGTCAGAGTTGACAACTAAAGTAATGCATTCTAAGTAGATGTGTATTGATTTGGGCTAACGAACATGACTGTTTTTTGGCCGCCGTGACATTGTACCTGGTACTTCATCATCCACACTTTCCACTATAGAGTATTTCTACAGTTTGATTATTACTCTTTTTAATTAACAGATGTCTCTATTGTATATTTTGCCAAGATTTTTATATTGGATAGCACAACAGATGATAGATGTAGTACAATGTAGTTTAGTATTTATTTAGTTAAGGTGAAATATATATATATTTATGTGTATATATACTGTAGAATACTTCTTCGCTTGGAATTTATTTTCGCTGAAAATAAAATCCAGCGAATATATTTTAATCCTATATTTCACATTAAACTCATCAAAAATCAGTGAAAATAAATTCCATACAAAACTCCCAAAAAGCCTTTTCAGCGAAAATAAAGTATTTCACAGTATTTAGGCTTCATGAGTACATTTTCAGCTGTAACAGTATTTGCAACAACTATGGCCCAATAATACTGATGTCAAAAATAACACTAATGATTTATTGATTTCCTGTTTTATTGATTTCTTCCAGATGATTCACATTTTCTTTATGAAATATACAACACTTATTTCTTGTTCATTTTAATAATGAAACCCAAATAAGATTGTTTTATGAACAATAAATTTAAACAGATCTATTGATACAGACTGCAGAACCTGGAAATAAAAATCAACAAATGGATGCCCGGTCGGAATGTTAATTATGAATTTAAGTTGATTCATCTGTTAACAAATATAGAGAGTTTGTACAAAAATTGTGAATAAATTATGCAAATATATGCTAATTAGCCACCAGCCTCTACCAAAATCTCTGAGAGAACACTGTATTTTATAAATGATCTACCACACATTTGCATATACTTTAACATGATCCACTTAAGTGTGTTTCTGTTGAATTAATTGTATAATTGTGTGGATAGAAATGTTCCTTCTATGGAAAATTGTCTCAAATCCTCTGAAAGAATAGTGTCTACATGTGATATGAAATTATTTTCATGCTGATAATCAGAGTTTCATTATTTTGATGTATGTAATGGAGATTGTTCATGCTATCTACACATACCTTGTCATTTGTGTAATATGTTATGTGCTCTTTCTTTCCTTCAGAAACTTGGGTGCTTTTTACTTGGCCCAGTTACAGCAGCAACAGCAGCAACAACAACAACAGCAGCAATATAATAACATGTACCTGACTCCATACCAACAGCAGGTATTATGGATGCAGCAAATGTATACACAGCAACACATGGCACAATACATGCAGTAGTAAGTATTACGTCTTGTGTGTCTCAAGCTTTTGTTTCAATGGTTTTTGCTACATGAAAATGTCTTGGTGTAGTTTTTTTGCTGGTTTGGTCTTTGTTTTTAAAATTATGATAGCGAGTTTAATTATATTTGCCCCCTATAGCAGTATTAAGTATACTGTAACAGTAGAAATGGACATTGTGTTAAAATTTTTCATGAGCAACTATATTCTATGGTTATATTATTCCCTGGATTTTAATTTAGTACATTTCATAAAAATAAGCAATATAAAATCCAGTTAATAATTGAGCACTGTACAGTAGGTATTTGAATTAACAGTTGATGAATTTAACTTGGGCTGTTTTAATATCAGTTTATTTACAGTGTTCTTATTTTCCATTTGCACAGCATGAATCAGAGTAATATGGTTCAAAACATGGAGTCCCCAGTTGTTGAAGAAGCCCCAGCCAATCAGATTCCAATTCCTCAACCGCCGGCTAATGAGAATCAAGCTAACAATCAACCTGCCAATCAGAACGTGCGCATGAATGCTGGTGTTGGTCCACCAATGGATGACGAAGAAGAACAGTTTAATCGTGATTGGTTGGATTGGGTTTATGTTTTGTCTCGATTTTCTTTGCTGCTTAGTATAGTTTATTTCTATTCATCTATTGATCGATTCTTGTTGGTTATGGGATTTGTCGCAATCATGTACCTGTAAGTACTATTCTCAATTTGTCTATTACTGTAAACAGTTATAATTAATCAGGAAATTGTGTAGCACTAAACTATTGGAGGTTATTAGGACATTCTCGTTGATGTTGTTTTTCCCCATTCATTTTGGTTATTCGTGGATGCTGTCTGACCTTTATGTCTTAAGACATTGAGTAACTGATGCCACAAACTTTCTCATAAAGCCTTTAGGAACCATCATTTTCACTCAATTTTCTATAATTTTCTGATAATTTTTGCCCAAATGACCATAATTTCCAATGATGTGGGTATAATGTTGTGAATGGTGACCATTGTTGAGTGAGTTTTTACAGTATCTAGTTTTTTGGAATGTTCAACTTGGATGTCACATTGTTATTTTCGTGGAAGATTTGCATACAGTCTGAAAAGCTCCATCAGCGTAATACTGTGCTAAGTGTGTGTTTGTGAACTTTTTGATAAACCTGTGTTATTTATTGCATCAAACAAAATTATTATTTTAATTTGCACCAAAGAAAAAAAATCTATTTGTATGCTAATTCATGCTTTTGAGAAAAACAATTATTTTTGCAATCACAAATTATTTGAGTTTTTACAGTTGGTGTAATCCAGGTTACTCAGTCACACTCAGTGTTATCATTTGCTTTGCCACCTTTCTTGCAGATACCAAGGAGGCTGGTTCAGAGTAAGGCGTAGACAGATTCGTCGAAATGCTCCAGTCAATCCACCTCAGCCTGTCAATCCAGCAGAAGAAGTGCCGCCGCCCCCTGAAAACCCAGTAGAACCTGGAGAAGGACAACCACGACCGGACAGTAACACAAATGCTGATGATAATAATATGAACAATGATCATGAGGGACAAAATTCTGAGAATAGCAATAACGACCGTGAACAACAACAACAACAGGAACCCCAGGAACCCCTACCAAGTGTCCTAGAAACTGCCTGGAATTTTGTTTCATCTTTTTTCACTTCTCTCATACCACAAGGACCTGCAGAGTTTCCAAACTGATTTCTATCTGACTGACTGACTGACTGACTGACTGACTGTTTATGCTATATTGCAGAATTACATTGAAAATGTATTTACATATATCAGAAAATAGTATTTTTTTTTTCTTCATTTCAATTTTATTTGTGGAAATACCTAAACAGCATTGAGGTGGGGTTTTGTGTTAGGATTCTTCAACTTTTGCTGCACCACACATATGTAACCAGAACAGATTCTATACCTATCAAATTAATGCTTTTATGTGCGACTTTGTTGCCACAAGCCAAATGTTTTGTGGTTTCATGTATAGTTATTTTAATTCCGAAAAAACTACACTACTCTTTAATAGAAGTACAGAAATGTGGCGTCATCCAAACTGTAGTTTGTCAAAAGAAATTCAAGGCAATAATGGCATGTTGATAATTACATGGAGAAGAGGAGAGAAGAGAAGAGAAAAGGAGAAGAGGAGCGGGGTGTCATATTTTGCTATATCATTTTTTTTCACTTTTTTATTCAACGCTTGTATATGTATAGAAATATTAAATGACTGGCTAATAATGTGCTGAGAATCTCAGATTCTCGCCAAACATTAAAGCTATCCCTGCCTCTTGCGTAAAAATAATCAACTGTTGTATCTGTTGATATACTGTATGACTGCTTGTCGGATGTGTTCTGCATCCAAGACTGACTTGAATAGGAATCAGAAGACAAATGATTTTTTATGCTAGCATGGGGTGAAAAGCATTGTCTTTTCTCTTCTGTGATCAGTCCCTGCAATGTTTGGGGGGTTGATCATGACTTTGGTCCGTCTTTGCGAATTTGCGTGCATGAAATTAATGCCCACTTTGGACCATTTTGTACAAGATATTTAGTGACATGCATTTTGTACAACTAAGGTTTCAGAGAAACTTTTGCATTTGTTACAGTATAGTTGTAAGCCACGGGGTACTGTTAGCACTGTAATTGTTTTCTGTTAGTCTTTAAATAGCTGAGTGGATTCTGAAGACTTGTCGGAAACACCATGGGACAGCCAGGGTGGTGTTAAAGGTATCTTTTCAGTGGTGTTTCTGACTTGTAGTAAGCTGGTCAACACAATTCCCTCATCAACAAATAATACTCTAATTTACACAGTCTGTTGGCGCTAACCACTCAACAGTCTGGACCTTGTCTAATAAATGACTACTTTGCAGATCAAGTACAACAACAAAAGCTGGGATTAATTTTCGCTGAAAAAACTTTTTGGGCGTTTTGTATGGAATTTATTTTCACTGATTTTTGATGAGTTTAATGTGAAATATTGGAAAAAAAAGTATATTTGCTGGATTTTTATTTTCACGGAATCATCCTTTCAGCGAAAATAAATTCCAAGCGAAAATAAAGTATTCTACAATATAGTGTGAAGATGCATGGCTTCACTAATAAAATGTAGTTTTCTTGATACTAAATCGGTTGATCTCGGTGGAACACCATTGTTATTTCGGTAACATTATTTGTTATGTTTTCCATTGTATTATGAAACCAATAAAAAGAATTTGCTGCGAGGTTAGCCTTAGAGGGTGCCCCTTTAAACCTACTTAGAGTCTAATGGCCTCTCCTCCACGATAACAATGTTGCAGACATTTGCTTGCCATTTTGAAATTCTTGTATGTTATGTTAATTCTTTACCAATGTTCTTACCCCATGGTGCTCTTATTTAGGGGTATTGGTCACATTTTCCTCTGAATTAATTCTTTTGCAGGGTTATTGTATCTCGTTAGTATCCCAAAAATTGCTGATTTTTTTGTATTGTATTGTAAGGTAAAGTATGATAGGATGGATATTGTTTTTGAAATGATGTTGCCAGTTACCTATTTTGATTGAAAACTATTTGAAATATTTATTTTATCTACAATGCTTCAATATTTTGCCAGGGAGGGAGGGAGGGATGACAATTGTGAAAACAACATGAAGTCTGTGATTTGTTTGTTTAAATAACCTTTATTAAAAGGCAATACTTTTTCTGTAGTCAAAAAGCATATTCACTTGTAAATAAGAATAAACTATGTTTGACATGGATTGTCTTGTCTCTTTGTAGATTATTTAATGTTGATTTCTCCCTCTGTATCATGCTTTCAGGGCAAGTAGATTCAACGTTTCCTAGACCCAACTGATGCCCATCCTTGGGAAAACAATTCTCTCCTATCTTAAACCCTTCTGAGGTAGCATTATCTTCAGAAGTAACTATGAAATTTCTCTGTCTACCCAGTCAGTACATAATATTGTACTTTGCAACGATGACAGGAGTGTACGTTACTCTGACTTTATTTCCAAAGGTATTACTGGCTTGTATGATGCTGGTACACACAGGTATTCAAAAACTTGGGAATCTTTTCAACGCACAAGGTTAACAAAAACACATTAATGATTTTCTCCTTTATCAAGGATTACTTTCATCTCTTCCTGCAGAAGGGAAGTCATGTAAATCATATTGTGTTAGACCAGAACTACCAATTAGTATGTATATTGAGAATAAGTTTCCTCCTTCGGGCGGCATTAATTGTAGGAAATTATGCAGATTGCTGCTTGTATCTTATTTTGTACCTCCCAGTAATGAAACGTATTATCAATCTCTATTTGATGTTAGGGACAAAGAGTGGAAAGAATTGTATACTCCCATTCACAGTTGCAATATAATAAAAACTTCAGGAATCCCAATGGAAAGTAAATCATAATAGTTTGTATACTAATGTTATACTTTTTCGTATGAGACCTCGCGAAGCCTCAAGTCTACAGCTGAGTCTATGTACGTTTTGTAACGATGCCGACGAAACACTTGATTATATAAAATCACTATGGAATATCAATTTACATCCCTTAATATTCCAGAAAATATTTCAGCAAAACAAGTACTAGTAATTCTAGGTGACAATATCTTTTTTAAATTGCTGAACTATATCATAAAGGTAATCTACCTACATTCAATATGATGAAAGCAAATGTTTTGGGCACAAAACAAACTGAAAATTTAATATCAAACAAGAATGCTTGAGATGCATCCAATGTAAAAATGTGGCAACGTTTTCTTTAACATAGTACCTGTGTTTTTATATTCGAATACACATTATGCAAATGTGATCTTATTTGAAGTGAACCACGTCTTTGAATAAATCATAAAACAATTTCCTTGCAAAAAGAGGATTAAATTATCGTGTGATAATGTAAAGATAAGACGTCATAAAAATCTCTAATTATGACATTAGATAATGTCCCAATGTTCATATCGTATAATGATTTGTTTAAGTAGATGTAAATCAATAGTCCGTATTATCCTTATATCACAGTTAATGACGCATAATGATCTGTGACAAGTCTACAATACATAGCTACAGAACACGTAATACATATTGCCGAAAACCCGCTTTATGATAATTAAAAACTTCGCAGGAGAGTGTGAGCACGGAGGAAAATATTGATGTTCCCCGATTGAGGGCGCCACTTCTACAATGTTCTAAATGCTGGTTATTTGGAAGAGCCATATAGATAAGTGTGCCAAACGATAACCCTCCACCGCTTTTTGAAGAAGCAGAATAGTTTTTGCATACTACATATCTTGTTTGTTTGTTTGTTTCATGTAAAACTGGTGTTCTATTTGAATAAATGATTTTATCACTATCTGTATTCAGTCTATGCAAGTTTAACACAAAAATGAGTTTGCAAAGTTGAGTACCAAATATATTTTCTTTACATTTTCAGCAAATTCTTATTGTCCGGACATACGAATGTTCTTTGTAATTTTAAATCAAAATGTTCACTTATATACAAGATGAACGACCTCACTACTACAAGTAATATGTGATTGGCAATAAATATATTAACTAACATGCTGGACTGTAATATTTACTAAGGTCCGTTAGTACCTTCCATGGTTCTATCAAGTAGTGTACATAATTAGTATTATAAAGTTTAGACAAACATATAAGCTCCGACAATAATGTAAAACAATTTCCTGTGAGATCGTGATTAAATTCCATTTATCTTATCCCGCCCTCTCCTCAATGGTACATTATGTACCAAGAACATAAAAATAATGTTGGAATGAACGAGGACTGTGTCATTTTCAAAGACTTGCAATTTGCGTTTTGATAATAGAGAGTTCAGATTACTAGTATATAGTGTTTTACAGAGTTCAAAAGAGTTCCTAATAATTGTGGGACATGCAAGTAATACACACTGAGTACGGTATGGGTTTGAAGAATTTAATAAACAATTAAACAAATTCATTATTTGTTTTTTTAACTGTACACCTAATGATTATTCCTTACTGTGTTAATGACCATTTATCTCAATTCAGAATCGAACAAGTTCAAAAGCTCTTAACGTGGTGTGCATATTAATTAATGTTATGCGCATATTTAACTAAGATATAATGCATATTCTATTATAAACTTGATACTTACGTTTCTTGAATTACTCAAATGAAATTTAGTTTTCAGATATCTGTACGACAATGAAAAGACACAACATATTATATTGTTGAATTGTCCGGCGAGTGTCCAAATCGGTTTCTATTGAATGTACAACATGCATATGAATACACTGTGACAGTGGGCACAGCATGCATCTGAAGGCTTTCCGAAACACCTATTTCCATGAATAATTGATTTTGATATTTAAAATATTTGGCGTGCTTTTTGAAGATAAGTGACATTTACAATATGTGTGTTCATGTATTTCCTTTGTCTTTATAATCATCGACATTTGACACATACAGTCATTATTTGACAATGGCATTACTGGTCCGCTGCCGGCGAAAGGGTTAGTCAAACATAATTTTGAGAAAGCTGACGTCGATGCTCGAAGGGTTAAACGTTCAAGTGTTAAGTCTCTGTCCCTGTGCAGACATTCAGTAGTTATTGTGGTGTTGTTAACGATCTTCCGAAGAACCGTTTCGGCAAATAAAAATAATAACATAGATTATTCTGGAAAAACATGTGCGTGTTAAGTCCTTTCGTGTGTCTGTATTTAAGGTATTTTTCGGTGTTGAGTTGTTTGTGTTCGTGGGCAATATTCACATCCGTGCAAAATACGCTCTGGCTTTTACCTACCGCGTCTAACCAGAATTCGGTGTGTCCTCTGTTCGGGGGACTACCCGGATCAAACCCAACCGATTTAAGCACATTGGTTTTAGCCATAAAAAAGTTTAGGAACATTTCCCCGTATATACACTGCGGGTATCCAGGCACGTAAATTCGTTCCCTTTTCATGCCAAGGATGCATATCCCGTCATCACCGTAGGCAATGTCAAACATGCCCTCTATTTCGTCGAAACCTTGCACAGGCGCGGCAACCAAATCGATCTGACGTTCTGGGTTTTCTAACTTTTCCAACATCACTTCTAATTTTGTTTCGTCTGTGAAAAACATATCATCGTCAACGTATACTGCAAATTTGGTCCGAACTTGACTGAGAGCTAGATTGCGTCCTGCAAAGTAACCTTCCCTGAAAGGCATGAAGTAATGCCGCACATTTTCTCTTTCGATCTTCACCGGGTTTTCGGAGTCATCAGCGACCACTATTTTCATATCGGGATAGAATTTGTGGACGCTATCAATGAGTCTATGGACGGCGGGATAGCGTTCAAATGTCTTGGTTATCAGGGTGACTTTATCAACAACTGACCCCGACTTTGTATCAAACAGATCAGGCAAAACTACCCGTTTAATGTGGATAGCCAAATGAATTTTAAATTTCAATAATGTGATTTCTAGTTTCTCCCAGGCGTCAATATCATACATCGTACTCTCATACCACAAATTATCGAGAATACTTTGGAAGGTGTCCGTTGACACAGCAAGGGGGAAATGAATGGAGAATTCCCCAGTGCTGTTGCCGCTATACGTCACGTCTGACAAATCCGCTGTTTTTAACAGTTCCTGCGTCTTTACATGCACCGTACCCATCCCATTAAGACACCGAATAACCAGTTCAGTAGGGTGTTCTCTAATCATTTCCATGGCAACGCGGTGCACGGATAAACCCGCAATTGGTACCATCTGTAATGGTTCAACTTTCAGCCCTATTCCTACATAGTTTAGAGGCGACATAGATTTACAAATTGCTAATGGTTCTTCGCGTCGTCTGTCCTCTCTTTCTAATACCTTGGCTTCTTTCATACGGCGATTGTACTGCTCTCTGTATTCAGGATTCTTAGGTTCTGAACAATAACACTTCTGCCTGGAGTTCTTTATTATAGTAGTTCTGTAACTCTCCTCAGTCTCTGAATCATCCACGAGCGATTGGTCTTCATAGTATCTCTTTAGGTCAACTGAGGATAAAGGATCATCGCTGCCAGCGTGCTGAGTCTCGATGTCTCTGCTTGCCGTCTTCACCGACGATGGCACCCGACTGAAGTGCGAAAAATTAAATATCGATGAAATAGAAAAACCCGAAACAAACATCACCAAACATATAAATATGTGACCGTATACGGGTATGGCCGCCATGTTTAATAGATGGGTGCACATCTGCTACACAACAGTGACGCCAGTCTCTCATATATATACATTAGGAGCTGAAATCTTCATAGCAAACATTACGCAAAGCAAACTACGTAACACTCAACAAGTTGTAATCGCATTACATGCCCGAATTTCGTAAATGGTAGGAGGTATATCAATGTACGAAAATCATCATACATAAAGCATGTCGAACCTTATTATGACTAATAAAACGAATTCATAGTTCATAACAAATTCATATAATCTGTATTCATAATCTCGTGCTAATTTAATATTGCTGATCAGAATACAGAATATGATAATTAAGGTGCTGCGTTTTCAGAATTGTGTATGGTATTTTTAGCCCGTGTAAAACTGAACCGAAATTCCATTTGTGTTACCGCATCAGTGAAGACTTTGAAGGTCATTGTCATGTAACATGGTATAGATGTATAATAACAGCATGAATATAGCAAAAAAAATAAATGTTTTGTTCGACCAAATATTCAGTTTCCTAGACATGGATTAAAACAATAGAGGAAATCGCTTTCTTTTGAATAATTTTGGAAAAAAATCCAAGCAGTTGAATTATTTCAATATTTCAAGTATTCGTTCACACCCACAAGAGAAAGGGAGAAATTTGGAAGTGCTCTTAGCATCTAGATATCCGGAAAAAATGGAGATTATTAATAATTATTTCATCGTTTTTACTAGACATTTTGTAATTCTTTATTCTCACAAACCGAAATATGTGTAAGCACACTCGTTGTCTCTATAACACACACATATATATCACCAATCTACTCCTTTTCTGGCATCAGTGTCAATATAATAACGGCTTTGTATTCGAAGCGGTTCCAGACGTATCATTAAAAAGTAGTATTAATTCGCCTTTGTTAATGCATAAGCTACCGAATCGTACGACGCGATGAGTCGGGGTCGTGATTTTATTCATGCACGCCATTCATTTAAAGTACCTTGCAAATTCCCGCTTTATAGCCATGTCATCAAGCTGCTGTCACTAACAATGAAAACACAGCTGTTTGCCACTGATATACTCACTTCGTATTGTTCAAGTGGAGAATATAAATGACATAATTGTCAATATAGCCATGTAACAAAACAATAAGGGTGGCAACACCAGGAATCGGTGCACACGAGGTCATGTTTGATATACAACGCCTAATACATACCATATGCTGGTTACATCAACTGCAAATTTATTTTAAAAAGACAATTTAAACCGTTGAAAAAGTAGAACATGTCCGCCATGAACCTAGTTCTAAACTTCACGCTTCAAAGATAAATTCAATATATAAATAATAAAATAGTTATACTAAATGTACCTTTTTAAAAATAAAACTTTATGAAATCAAACAGCTGCAGTCCTCGAAAAATTGCAGATTATTTGATATTGTGAATTATTGATTATTATACACCTGTCACCGTAACGCCATAAGTTACAGCCTGTCGTAATTTTGCGGTATTTTACGGTGTATTTTCATCTTAACATATTAGGAAATGCGATTTCAAAATATGGAATGATAACGTGCGTAAACGTTCTCTAATAATAAAAACACACATGGCGGCTGCCACCAGGGTTTGACTCAGACAGTACGCCGTCGCATCAACTTCCGCTGCGCGTCGGTCGATTCTTCTGCTGTACTGTCTTCGTGCATACTGTGAGGTATCCTCGTAATAACCTCATAGTATAACTATTAAGAGTTATTTAGTAGCAGATGGAAAACAGAGTCTGTTGTTTTTAATTATTAATCATATTTTAATTATTCAAAAATCAATTATAATGCTAACAATGAAAAGTGTGGTATTGCATCATGGGGCCAGTCGTCAAACAAAAAGGTGCACGAGGAAAATCGTAACAGAAAAAAAGTCACAATATTACTAGTAGTTTTTTTGTATAAGTAGTAAATCCACAGAAACCAACAGCCTGAGAATGAAAAGATCAGTAGTGTCCCATGAATCCCTGGTTCTGACCATAGACCCTCTGTTCTGACGTAACTACACGTTCAATATACATAGTTCGCCAATATTTCACGCCCTCATGATGTTCAGAGTTGTTCTATTTGTGACTTGTTGTGCAGTATTGTTATCACTGTCACTACAAACCGCATTGAATTAATTGTCTGGACGTTAATTGGGGGGTGACTCTTTCTCCGACACAATTATTATTATTATTGTTATTATTATTATTGATTTTGACACAAATATCATGTTTTTGTATTTTCCCCAATAGTAGATGTTTGCTTGATGTAAACATGGTCGTTTGACAAATATTGATATTCGTCTCTCCAATCCATTTCTTGCCTCTGACGTCATTTTCTGTGTTTCAAAAAAAAAATGGAAGACACTTTCGAATGGTTTTGTTCTTTATGATTTTTACTCAAAAAGTTTGCGTCTTTACTCACAGTTTTTCCTCGCTTACTGTTTCGTTATTCTATTTTGGGATGATAAAACAGTTATTGTCCTTGGATTAATATCGTCCCTCATGTTGGTGTTATTGGGGAAGATAATTCTTGATATCGGCCTTAGAGAACAACTTTCTTATAAAATAGATTTTTCATGACACTGGAAAATGAAATGTATGATGACAATAGAAGAAAGGGTAACTAAGAACGCAAAGGGAAAACCCCCAAGGAAACCCAAATCGAGTTCAGCGAGTCGAACTTTCATTCTCTCTTACTGTTTCGAGTTCCCCATTTTACATTTGATTAAAGAGTAAGAATATAATGATTGCGGTAAGTGCAAGAACTAAAATTGCAATATGACAAATAAGTTACTACGTGTCCAAAATATATTCTTATAATAATACAGTTGACAATCCGACAAGCAAAATAAATGCTTCTGGGTGACACGAAACTAATATTCAGTATTATGCAAAGTACCCGGAAGTAAGAGTGAATTATTCTACTACTGTGCCAGCAGAGTGGCTTGTGTTATTGCTCAGATTTTAAAGTTGCGGATCGATTTTGCATTTATTTTCTATGGGTTTTACAGAGACTCCTTGAAATACGTAAGTACTGACACTATACGCGAGGTCATGATTATTAACGGAGGCCGCATTTCTGTTATAAAACAACTCTTTATAGTCTAATCTGTTTGCGACGAAAGCAACAACTTGAAGGAGCCAACAAGGAAGTAATAACGCTAAACCCCACGATAAACGCATAACTATTATTTTCAATTGCTTGTTATAAGAAACGCTTCAAATATACCCAGATGAAAATAAAAATATTATTGTTATTTTGACTACTGTATGAAGCGTTTAGGATCACAAAGAAGCAAGAGTCTTTTTTTGGCGCGTATTTCACGGGAGCTCAGTTGTAGTTAAGCGACGACATTTTTGTACCTGTTAGGGTTAGATTATCAATAACATATATATATATATTAGCTGGATTGCAGATGTCGTTGCCCAAGGATTGAGAGGAGATGATTAATTAGAAAATAATGGAAGAACAAATTCTACAGGGGAAATAAATAAAATTAATAATTAAATTTACAAAAACATTATCAAGTTAAAAAATTGTAGCTCAAAAAAAAAAAAAAAAAATAGTAGTTTACTTTTCCCCAGAGTTTCTAATGCTCAACCCCTAAGAGAAGTAAAAAGAAATAATTTTGATTAAAGGTTCTACCTGCATGTACCTTCTCTCCAGAGTTTCAGATTGTTAGTTTCTGACTCATTGTATCCCCCCCACTACAAAACATCTACAACATTACAGAGTACACAATTATCTTAAACTCCAAATTAACCCCATTTAGTTTTGTAAATTTTCTCATTAAAGGGGAGGGGGGGGGGGGG